AATTCCAGTTTCCGTGTGAGATCCGGTCAGAGTTTTCAACTTGCCGTAGGTAGCCAAGAATGTGAGTGGTATCCAACCACCAGATTTCCTCGCAAGCTTCATGAGCAGTTCGTCCCGCAAAGCCGCCTGGAATACGAGCATGAGACGAGACGGGACGAAAAAGCGAGCCCCAGAATCTTCGAGGGATTCCATACCTTGTCCGAGAGATAATGCTCCAGAAGCGATCGAGTCTGCTCTACTTTGTCGGCCGGAACCGAATCACAACCTCTGCGGCGGGCATCATGCTGTGAAAATTCGGACACTCTAGTAGTGCATTCCGGGCGAGACGTAGTCTACGAGAGCCTTTTGACCCGGTAGATGATAGTCACCTCTATCAGCTCATCACCAACATTTCCTCCCACCGACTTCTCGCTCGATTCGAGCCGGGGGACACGAGCGCCTACCTCGGTGTTGTTCGCAGAGCCCTTAGAAGGTCCAACAGCTTGGATTGCTGGATCCAACTCGTTGAGATTGAGGATTTCTGTTTTGCCGGTCCGGATCCACTCAATTTCAACAAAGTCGTCGGGATCGTCTCTAAAGCGCACGGAGATACTTTTGATATTAAACGAGGAATCTCGGACGAATTCAAGTTCGAAGCGAATCCTGAATATCTCACACGGTGTCCGAGGTTTGTTTAGCGTTATTCTTCAGAATGCCTCGTTGAGGGGGCTCGGATGAGCTCGCGACGGGCGTACTGAATCTGTGGAGCGACTTCATTCTATGTATCGTCGAGGAGATAAACTTCCAAACATGAGTGAGATCGGCTTACAATTTAGTAGGAGGGAACCATGGAGCCTCGGACGCTCCCCGCTCGAACTTAACGCACGGTCGTTTGTCATTGGCGGGCCTTGAATGAATTATCAAGGGGCAAGGATTCACCGGAAAATTCCGAGTCTAGAGCGACAAGTCAGAAGAAAAGTTGTCCTAACTTTACCTTCCCCCGCAAGCTGAAGAGCATCTTTGAGGATCTCCCGAAGGCATGTTCGAGAAGGATGATTCCGCCTCCGACGCTCTCCGTACAGCTCACTTCTCGTGATGGAAGGTATTATGCCTCACTGGTGTGCTACTCATTGCGTGAAGAAGAACAATGTCGCACCTTCCCGGAATATTTAAAAAAAGGAGAGTCTCACCTGCGATCTGCGGTAAACTAGATCCTGTTCATGCTCGCAATTCAGCGTGCGCCAATACCATGTTCCCATTTTGACTCAAATTCAAAAAATTCAAATCCGTGCTAAATTCGAATCAGGAATTCAGAAAACCATCGAATCAGACAATGCCTGCCCTTCTCAGACAATGCCAACGCCGAGGAACAGGTCCAAGCCATTCTCTTCTGAGCGGGTTAAATCCGCGAGGATCTCAAGTGGAGAAAGACCATTTTTTCCGCTGACGGTCTCAAATTGAAGGACAAAAAATCTCGCGCGCTCGCTTCACTAGTAGTGAGTGCTCTTGGGGGGCTGCTCCGCGCCCGCCGGCCGGCTGGCCGGCCTCGTTCTGCAGAAAATGAAGCGAGAGAAGAAGCCGACGACGACAACGGGAGATGTTGGCAAATGTAGCGTGCTAAGCGCATTAAGCAACTTAGCCGGCGAGCCAATGCTGCTGCTGCTGCGTTCACAGACTGAAGCCGCGCTTACTCACGAGACTTCTTGCCCGGAACGGGACTAGCTTCGATGAAACTTGAAATCCTCACTCCGATCTCCGCTTCGAAGGTCTACAACATTCGCATGAGGGAACGATTTGTGTTGAAATCCTCCAGTTCAGCATTGATAACCACCGGGGTCTAGGAAACCTTGAATCCCAGCCTTCGGTTTCCGAGGGTGAAGAAGCTCTCCCGAATGCTACGAGTGTGCGAGGATTCTTTTGGAAAATATATCTGCTGTCCCGTCTTTTACTGAGAGAAATTCGATGCTCGTGCTCATCCTGTCGATCCTTGTGCAGATACCGATGTCACCATCAAGCCAATCTTCCAATCACTGCCGGACCCCGCGTGTTAAAAGGTTCAAGCAAGATTTAGTCGCCGCTCCTAAGTGGATCTAACGACCCCTACCAGGCCGTGCAAAGGTGCAACGATTCGGCTAGCTTCGCTCTTCTCCCAAGTCTCGGTGGTATCTCGGAGCTTCTCGTCCCTGATCGGACCGGTACCCATCCGACAAGCGGATACTTCATTCACTCGCTCGCGACGTGATCGTGCAAGGTTCGAATATCCGAAAGCGCAAAATATCAGGCTCCAACCGCGCCACCCTTCGCAATTGTTCTCTGAGGACACTTAGCCGAATCATTTAGTATTTGGCGCCCGAGAAACGGCGTCTCTTAACGAGGCAGTCGTTGTAGGGGCGGGCGGGCGAGTGGGCTCCAGGCAGGACCGACAGGCAAGTGAGCAAGTACAGCAGCTGGTTGGCTGGGCACATAGAGAGCCAAGGGGAAGAACCAAGCGTCTCCAACTGCCATTACGGGGCACTATCATCTTGCTTCTGCAGCCTCCGTCGCCGCCGCACCCGTTCTGTTTTGTGAGCCTTGGCCCCGCCCAACTAGAGATAGATCTGCAAATGCCGTCGTTGTCACCGACCTTCTCCTCCTCCTCCCGGTGCTTCTGCCGCTGCCGCTTGTACTGATGTGCTAATGCTGTTAGAGATGGTCCGACATCGATCGGCCGTCATCACATCTCCGGCGCAGGACGGACACACGGACGAAATGGTGGACTGCGCTTGATTCCGAACGATCAATGGGATCGACAACGCTCGTATCACTGCGATTCTAGCAGAGGGGGAGGGCGAAACGCTTCCCTGGTTCTCATACGATAGTCTCCGGAGAACGCGAGATTGATCTATAGAAACAGGGGTGATCGTACCTACGACCGTATGGAGCAAAATTGCTCCGGAATTGCAGAGAATCAGAGGAGCTCAAGCCAAATCAGGGAGAATACCCGTTCTCGCGAATGAGGAATGATACGCTGAACTGTTGGCAGCATCGACCTTCGGAGTGACTGGGCGAGCCACAAAGTCCCTTCCTACCCCGACATGTCTCCCGCCTAAGCCGGTGCACGAGAGCATCACCTCCTCGCGTCGAGGAGAATTTCGTTTGCGGTCACTTCCCGAAGTGGTTCGTTTTTGCTATAGGAAGACGGGGAGTATCCATTTCCATCCGGTGTCTCCATTTGTGGATACGGTTCTCCACTTCCGTGGCCATGATTCGCGGGTGGAACTACAGAGATGTACATTTGAGCTCTGAGCAACTTGAACGAACACCATGCATGCCTCATGTGTCAACCTCTTTTACGCTGAGGCTTTTAGGTTTTCTCTTGACTCGCCTCTCCACGCTCCCCTGTGCCGGAGTGGGAAGTATCTCTGTTCTTGAATTTCACGCACATACATATTGGCTCCGCTCGGGCTCGATGCTGTCGTCGCGTCGAAACAACAAGGAGACCAAGAGTCGATATAAAAGTTGAGAAAAGACACCAGCTTCAAATGTTCGAGCGCGAAAGTGAATTCAGTGGACAGTGAATGAAGAATGGAGAAAGACTTTCAGCTCTCCTCATCCAGCGCAGCCCGCTTGCTTTTATGCAGCACCGTCGTCTACCGTCAAGCACTCGGCTCACCGCGCTTGTCTGAACGCTTGAAGGATGAACGTTCTCGAAACCGTGCGCCGATCTCCCGCTCCACGACTATCCGTAGTAACAGACGGGAGAATATGAAGAGTATGTTTCGATCTGACCGAACACGTTTCCCAGTCAAAGTGGTCTGTGTTTGACCGAATTCCTCTCCAGGGATATCAGATAGAAAAGGTGAGGGACAAGGTCGCGCGGCGTTTCCCAGGAGGGAATGATGTGCTCCCGACGCAGCCGAGTTTTTCAGGCTCGCAGGAAAACGACGTGGGATGGACGTTGCCTCCCTTGCGCATTTCCAGCCTTCCATGTGTGTATCATCGGCGGAAAATCATCGCTCTGGAATAAGACTAGCGGAAAAAGGAGGAAAGTCGGAGAATGGGAGATTCCGTCGGACGGAGCAGTTGGGCGGCTCATGGGAAGGGATGGAAGGTGAGACGACGCCCGGTTCCACCCAACCTGCCCCTCTGATTCGCCGGCTGTAGATTCTGATATTATGGATATCGGTTCTGGGGAAAACGCTTGCGCTGCGAAACGCAGCCGGTGGCTACTCACAGTCATTTAAGACATCCCTCGAGCTCCTCAAATCCCATCTAGATTTGGATCGCGAATCACGACCACGACCGATTATCCCAACGGGGAATCCCGCGAAACCCCCAGTCACGCGCTAGACTGTTTTCCGCGTGCCATGAATTTTCAATTATTACTTCGCAAAACCAAGTCGTGCAACCTTTCTCGTTTCCTGAGTGAACCTGATGACTTTGTAACGGGCGGAGCCTCCGAGACGCTACGTTCCTCTCCCACCGCCCAAGCCCAGATTCACGTCGAGCTCGACCTCGGGACGTGAGCGTACTGATCATCGCTTGGCTTACGTCTACTCGTGGCCACTGCTTGTCGCAAACGCCATTAATTTCGGTCTTTGTGTCACTCAATTAGGCCATTATATGGAGTGTTGGATCAGCGGCGCGCAGGCGCAGCCCCGCCTCCCCGTGGGTCCGCCCACCTTGCGAACGGAGTTCGTTTTCGTAAGCTGCGCGGGGAACACAGTAGTGCAAACAATCAGGAGACAAACCCTGCACGGCTCCTGAGCCGGTCGCGATCGGCATGCTGCTTGTTCACAAATCCATGTGCTTCTCCTGAAGAATCCTGACGTGCTTGAAGAGATTATCGGATCATCATTCGCTGCCATTGTGATCGAGTTCCGGAGCCAGCGAGCCTCCGTCGATGGTTGGTGGAATCTTGAGGGTCGTTTCCGTTTGAGGCGGCCGACTGACTACTCAGCAATAAATTGTGACTACAGCGCCGAGTGTCAAGTGTTCCATCCGACTGAGGAGAAGAAAAACTGACCTTCGTGATTATGAGCATGGAAGAGCTCACGGAGTTCGTTTCTAAAACCTTCAAAGACACATCTGCGGATCCGCCGCAGTCTTCAAGGTGTCTTTCATTCATGGCACAGAACCTCGCTACGCCATTCAAACGAGAAGAGGAAGAAGACTCGAAGGATTCGAGTGAGTTGCTGTACACCTTTTATTAAATGAATCGCTTTAATACGTGGGAGGAATCGATTGCCTGACCCGCGCGATCTATCGAGGGCACCGTGACAGCTGATTCCTGCACTGTTTAGAATTCACCAACGCCGCGCTGTTGCCGGAAAATTCACCTGTTAAGGCTTGTGATGCTGCCGTGCACGACAAACAGTCGTAAATCTTCCTTAGCTACTGTTCGGGATAGTTTTGAGCCCAAAGGTCAGGCAACAATGTCCGAGAGTACTCATGGAGAACTCGACGGCGATTTCGCGACCCTGTTCGGGGAGGTCGCCCCGCGTTCGTCTCGAGAACTGCAGCTGGAATCACCGATCGGGTTCAGATCGCGGAGCAGAGCGGAGTTCACTTGGGACTGCGGGAATCCGAAGACAATATTCTTGGTATTCGTCTCTGCCCGCGGAAATTCCTTCTCCGTATCATGAATGCCAGCATATCAGCTGAAATATCAGCCTCCAGCGAGTAGATTCGGATACAAATCCTCCGAAGGCGTCTGACTGTAGGTCGCAGCATCATTCCGACTCGTGGGTTCCGCCCACTCGGCCTATCCCATCACATTCATTCTCGGCTCGATGGGATTGAGAGACCCTGACTCCACTTTCCGGGCCCGCCCGAAAAACTGAAGCGGATCAGCTTCAAGCAATGTCATCATTGCCCTGAGGATTCACTGCCTCGATTCCTCATCGAAAAAAAAACTCACAGAGGAACTTCCATAAGTTCTCGAGTCGCGTAGAAGAGGGAAGATTCGCCTGAGATATGTTTTTCCATTTGGATCGGGGTAGCGGAAAACCATGAAGTAGAGCTGGTGAGACACTCAGCGGCATCTCATCGACAAAAGTTCTAGTATGGTACACATTTCATGACACAGGTCACGAAAGATGGCCCGCTCAAGCCTTTGCCAGTCTGTGTATTGATTGAATCTCCTTCATTCAATGCATCGCACCATTGTGGTGCTCATTCGTTCATCGCCTTGATCATCGCAGGGACAGCGATTCATTCAGCTCATTCGCTGATTTCCAGCCGTAGGGGCGAGCAGCAAGTCGAGCGTTGTTCATTGCTACCACTTGAGGGCTGCAGCCAGCAAGGAGCGACATGGGCTGGTAAACGTGCCTGTTCGTTCGCTTGTTTGCGAGACCTGGTATTAGAGAAGGCTCGTAGCGTAGCTTACTTGAGGATATCTTGTTCGTAGTAACGAATCGGCCGTCCTGTTCGGCGATCGCTCTCTTCTCAGTTCGTATGCTTGTTGTGACCGTAGATATTGATAGCATAGCTTCAAGAGGCTGTGGGGAGCGTGTGAACCATGTCGCTGATTTTCGAGTGGTCTCGGCGACGTTGTGACGGCCGTCAAATCCTTTATCCAGATTATTAGAGATAGGATTTTTTTCCAGATCGGTGATTATCGGTGATGTTTTCGACATGGATATTGATTGTGAGGACGAGCCCTCCCGTCGATTCGTGTTTTCCACCTGGACAGTTTTCTGATTTAGTCTCGAGAGAGGTTCAATTGAGCTCTCCTTCTTTGTTGGGCATCCTTCCATCCCAACTCGATGAGACGGGATGGAATTCGGTATAAACTTCGTTAAAGTTTTCATGGAGCAAAAGGATTTTCGGAGCGAGGTGTGACCTTAGCCTTAGTTCTCTTCGTCGGGAACTTTCGGAAAGTTAGAGGAGTTCCCCTCCCATCGAATCAGTGGGCGACGGGTACACAGTACGAATACTTAGGAAGTTTCCCAACGAAAGCTGACCCTCGGTCCGAGGTCTCCGAGATAGCAAACTCACACATGACTGCGCATAATGTCGTAAACGCTGTCCAAGACGGGAGCTCGCCACTCGCAGCACGGCAGCCAGCTGCGAATACCGAGAATCCTCCGGGCAACGATGATGGTTCCCTCCGATTTTTCTCTGCCGAGACCTGAAATGACTTCCTCGCTCGGCGAAGATCCTTGACGCCACGGCCAATTGGAGTCTGATGCGGGATATCGTGCGAAGAGTCAAAGCCCCGACTCTTTCGGAGCAGAAACTTGGAGGAAGGGGGTGGTCCTTCATGAAACATTGCCGACCGAAATCCGGCGTCGAATCCGGGTCCAGAGTATCGAAGAGAATACGGAAAGGATAGTCATCACTTAGGGCGAACACGACATAAAGTCATTGACCCGGCTGTCCAGTGAATAAAATGTTCCTATGCTCTACATGGAGGAAGGCTGCCTCCAAGCAGGAGAAGAAGCGTATACTCCTTCTTGAAGGGAGTATACCATGAGAGGTGAAGGGAAGAGGGCATTCCACGCTTCGGGTATGGCTATCCGACGATGATTCTTGTCGTATCGTCCCTTCAGATTCGAAACGTTGGGACTGGTGTCTCGCCTGCGTTGGTTGAAGGGGCACCCACGTGTGCGTCGCGATTCGGATAGTGCTGCGGGAACAGTGAGGCGCGAGATGAATGACGGATACTCATCTTTATACCGGATCATCGATCGCTGGACGCCCCTTATTCGAGTCGAATGAAGATTCGAAGGCACAGGAGCTGTCGAGGCTGTTCGGCCTTCATGGCACAACAGCAAGAGCACATGTACAGGGGTGCAGGACAAAAAAAACAACTCGAAAATGCGTCTCTCAACACACCGAGGTTAATGTGTGGAACTGTTTGTTTTTTGAGATTCGCGTACGATAAGGACTCCGGTCGCAACCGGCCGTCGCTCAGAGACGATGTGTCAGTTTGTCAGTCAATGTTCGTGAGTTGTATTCCCTAAGTGAACCGTCAATTCGACTTTGAGTTGTGGCCTCGCGCGCGGAGAAATTGGGTGACGATTCCTTCACTCGGAAGGGTTTATTGCCGATGTCAAGCGAGCAAAGTGCTTTTTGCGCCGTGGTCCCTCCTCTCCACATTTTCACACTTTTCTTCTTGTGGACGACTACGAAAATCGACAGCTACTATTTCTCAATGAGTGGTTGGAAACACAAATTCCTGGCCCTTCTCCGCAGAATGAAGCGATCTTGATAGACTGCATGATTCGTTTACTCATGATTCGCGCGCGGATCCTGTGTGGAATCGAATGCAGCGGGCTGCAGTTTGAAAGGTGCTTTGTTCTGGAATCAAACGATCGATCGAGCATTAGGTGCGAGACAGAACGAGTGTTTCGACACCCGAGTGGAGCGGCCCACGCGAACGCAAGGACGCGGTCTCGCTCCCCCCGGAACCGGGCGTTGTGGGGAATCGGAGAGGTCTGAGCGGATGTAGTCAGAATGAATGCTGCTCCACATTCTTGCTGCTGCGGTGAAGATTGAATTAGCGACGCTATCTGAGACGCGGCCGTGCTCACTCCATTGCTGTCTTTGCGTGTTCGCTGTGACGATGAAGTCGTTTGGGCCAATTTCGGCTCTACGAAGAACATCGGAACGGCGCACCGAGAGATATAGAGACCTAAAGGAGCGAGCAACCTGCGGAGCCAGCGGACGAGAGCAGGGGAGGTTCGTGTTTTTACTGCGGACTTGATTAGCTTCTCACTCACAGCAGAGTCGAGGAAGGAATCACTGCGAACCAAATACGATGTGGCTTGTCACGTCCTACGCACGGATGAGTTGCAAGGGTAATCTCGAAATTAGCACATGATTCCGACCCCAAATTGAGAAGGATGGCAACAGACCAGCGGTAGAGACACGTGCCAAGCGGTCTTGCAGGGGTCGGTCGTCTTGCCTTCGCAGTGCCCGCTGGAGCCGACATGTACATATGTGTATCATTCGCTTCGTACATCAGTCTGATCGCAACGCTGCGCTTGTTAGAAGCTGTCCGGTACCGTGAGTTGAGTTTTGACTCTGAATTTCGGTGTGAGCGTAACAGTCGCGATTCCGAGAATGCTAAATTTTCTACGGCGGAGCTCTCCGGAAGAAAACTCGGGCGAGAAATTATTTTCTCCATCGGCGATGGACTCGTCTTCCCGAATACAATCGTTTAGGTCTTTGTAGCCATGCATAACCCCGGCCGGCGTAACTCACAAACGCCTTGAAGTTCACTGCACTTCATCTTCCGCAGAGGAATCTCTTAAATTGAATTTACGCTTTGCGCTCGAGTACCGTCTCAGAGACAAACTACATCACATAATTCTCTCGAAAATGTCTCGTTGCGACCGGGGAGCGATAAAGCGCAGTTCATCTCCGCTTGTTAAACAGTCCTAAAAATGGAATTCAACTCGCGCGCTGTTGAGACGCAGAACGAGAACGGGGGACCGATAGAGAACTCCGAGTCGCGAGCGGGACTCGATAGAGAGGAACAACGGGAATTAAGGAGAGAGTGAGCAATGACACTTTGACGCTCAGAATTCGTATTGGATTTCACTTTCGGACCCAATGGCGACACTTTTAAGAAAATGAAATTTCCACTCCCAAAGTCGTCGATGTTCAGAGTCACTGGATCGAGTCGGGCGACGAAGAGCTTTGAGTAGGCCGAGGGAATCGCTGTGCAACTGCTTTTCAATCGTCGGATGCATGGGAGAGCGGATGAGCGTCCGGGCGGAGAGGCGCTGCTCTTACTCTCTTCGAAAGACTATCCCGATAACTAGGTTTTCAGGATTCTCCTAAAACGATTTTCACCGCACTGATAAGTTTCACCGATTAGGTGTCCAACTTGTCGATAGGGTTTCGTCCCCGCAGCACAATATGAATCGCGCCAACTCAAAACGTCTCCCATATCAAAAGTTTTCGTCGATTTTCCTTCTGAGATTGATACGACATCCCCCGCCGCTCAGGACTCGATAGCACCTGTCGGAACGCATCATTCGCCAACCAGTCTTTGGTGCAGCCGAGTGCGAATCTAAATCGTTACTGAAGCGCGGTCGCGAATAGATCGAGTGAGATGTTCTTTTTTCGCCGATGCCTCTCTACTCGGACCCGCCTCGTGCGTCGATGGGGGTAGAGGGGAGGGACCATCGAAGCTGGAATTCAAAAACACGATGCACCCGATGATGGGGAGGAATACTGTTAGGCTCCTCAATTCCTGATAAAAACTCCACAAATCGAATTCACAGGGGATTGTTTCTCGCGCGAGGACGCCATTTCGCCCCGACCGTTGAATCTCAAGGAAGCATCTTTCTCGCATCGCGATTTGAAGGAGGCTAGAAATAATTCCGGGGTGAAACAGAGAAGGTGAGTAGATGAGGAAACTTGCCTCTATAGCATGCCCTTTCGCGCATCATTAGTAAGTAATCCCTGGAGTATTTTCGAGAAAACTCGACAGCATGACTTTCTCGAGAAAATGTCTTTGTCTCGCGCAGATCACGCACTAACTTCACATTGGAGCAGCTGAATGAGCTCGAGAAACTTTTCGATGAAACACACTACCCCGATGCTTTCATGAGAGAGGAACTTTCTCAGCGTCTAGGCCTGTCGGAAGCGAGAGTACAGGTGAGTTACCGCGACCAATCTATTTTCAATCTTCGGGACTGCAGCCCGTCGTGGTAGAAACCTTTCCAATTACCTTCGAGTTTGAAAAGGTATGAAAATCACGTACTCGAACGGAATCGATCCTATCAAGAGAACGAATATTCTCGACTCGTCGTCGTCTCAGGGAATGCCAAGGTGGATCAAGAACTCGGGAGAAATGAAAGGGAGCTGGATTTGCTGCGAAAGCTATGTCCGCTTAAGTACAGGAGCCACAGCGGAGCTTAGGACTAACTTGATTAGGTTGAGTGGATGAAGAGCCAAACCAAATAACACCTCACTGATTACCCAGGACGCTCAAACACGCGCATACACACGAATTCACTGACCAAAGACGAGACTCCTTCAATCAATGGTCGACGAGCTACACGCCACGACACAGTACATGGTAGTCGGTCAAGCACTGTGATTGACCGGGATCATAGTCAAGCAGCGAGGAGCGGTGGTCCCCTTCGGCTTGTTGTTCCCCCGAAAAATCGTCGCTGGTGGTAAGATTGAAAAAGACCTCCATTCGAAACTTTCTCTAGCCTGTCGAGCTGGGACTCCGTAGTACTGGAGACAAATCTCTTCAGCCACCCGCGATGGATAGAGATGATGCGGAGTAGGGGAATTTCGGTAAGCGCATTAGGGTGTTTGCTTCCCTTGTTTAGACTGAAAAGGGACTCAGAAGCTTGTTACGGTTGTCTTCATTTGGTTATCGAGTTAGAGTTGTTTGACTAGAATCAGACTTCCGAGTCACTTGCGGGAGGATCGGGGACAGAAATGAGTGGGTACCCGGAAATCCCAGCAGTCTCCACAGTTCCTCTCTCAAAATCGCGAACGAGAGAATGGAACAGACTCGATTCCGGGGAAGTTCGGGGCGAGTTTTTCGAAAGCTGGAAACCTCGAATAAGTCTCCGACCGTTCACGAGTCACGACTTGTGTGAATTCACACTCGGCCCGCCCCGATCGCGGGAGGGATACTACGGCAGGACTTGGGAGCGGACGGAAGACGGAATCCTCGGCGAGATTTAATACTCGTCGAGCTGTCTGAAAACTGCTATTGGTAGCGAGCGGCGCGACGATGGCATAGATGATGATGATAGTGATGGTGGTGGCGGCGATGGTAGCTGTGGTCGTCTCTTCAGACATACAGGGTCGGTTCGCATTCGGCAATTGCTTGCCATGGTGGGGGTCGGAGGTTTAGGGTTGAATGTTCGTTCTTTTTCGTTTCATTCCTCTGGATTTTTCTTCCGTTGCTCGCTCGGATCGTTCGCTCTAAATGGTGCTAATATATAACAATACAACGGGTTGGACCTCGCTGTCTCTGATTCGCCAGCCCGCCCGCCCGTTCGGCCGCTTCTCCCTGCGAGCGCCGACTGGTTGGCTGGCCAACGCCAAAGTGGATGAAATTCTGACAGGCCGCACCGCGCATAGGCTGCACACTTTCGAACCGTCAACGAGACAACTCGAGGGAAGCGAACAAGGGAAGTCCAAAGAGATTTCAATTTGAGGAGGCCTTCTCCTGTTCCTTGCTGTTCTCGAGCTTCGATGTGATTTACGATTTGTCCCAAACACATCTGACCGCTTGAGTCTTGAATAAGTTGTGTCAGCGACTCTTGAATTTCCAGCAACAGACGTGCCGCTTCGCTGAGAAGATGAGGGGCAGGAAGCGGGCTGATCCCAGATGATACAGCGCACCGGCTGATGCACGCTCCTCGCGACTTCGCAATCTTCCAATATGACGATGAGAAGCGAAGATTTCGCCTCCCCACACTCCGCAGAAGTTTCCTCTGGCCCCGGATCGACGCTGAGAAAATTAAATTGAAAAATGCCCCAAGTCTTAATCGGTGCTGAAATTCGTTTTGATTCGTTCCGGCCCCTTTTTTCTTGGGTTCATTCAGTGACAGCGACATGTTGGAGGTCGGGAGAGGCCGAGACGACATCCATTCTGCGGTCATTTAGTCGCGTCCCGTTAGCTCCCATTGGCTCTATTGTAATTTGGCCACAAAGGGCTCAGCCAGCAACAATCTCCTGAAATGGAATCCTGCTGTGAAAATCTTGGCCTGCTGAGAAGTTGGTCGAGGATGAGAGATTCGGCGGCGGCGGAGATGGACAGACGGGGTCGGCGGGGAGAAGCGAGGAAAGTAGAATTAGGAACAGAATGGTAGACGGGATGAGGGGCAGCTAAAGGATAACGATAACCGGACAACGACCCACAGCCCGACCTCCACTGAGACGACTATTAAAGAAAGAGGAAAATTTTTCAATTGTCGCCGTTTGTTTCTATGGACGCAAAAGGATGTCGTGATTAGATTAAGCTCGAGTACGGCGCTTGCGGTGCCAAGCATGGAGAGGATCGACGATGGAAGTCTTTCGACATCGTGCTCTCCTCGTTACTGTGACGTGCAGCAAATTTCTGAACAAAGCTCCCCTTTTTCGGCGCTCTCGCTTTTTTTCGCTGTCTCGTGTGATGGAACCACTCGTGGACCGAGCGTTGCGATCCACGATAGCTCGAAAGAAAACTACTTCGTCAAGTCGCATCAGAGGAGCTAGCGGAAACCATTTCCCGGTCAATATCGAAGGCTACGGTCCCGCTCGCATTCCCTCAGAAAGAGCTCAGCGATCACAGCATCGATAATCACTGTAACAGGGTGTTCGAGGCAGAGAGACGGAGACCCAGTGGACGATATTGATCACTAGTCTCCGAGGGATAAAGCTGCTGCAGTGGCATCTCCTAGAGGAGATGGCGACAAACGAATGGAGCGGCGAATCTCGCATAAAGTAGAGACGGGTTGTTGTTGTTGGCCAAACAGATTAAGTGAATTATTTCAACAGTGATTGTTTCCATTATCCAGAGGAAGTGGGATTCTGAGGCGAAACTAATCAACACATCATTTATCTTACTCGTTCCTTCCGCCTCGATTCTCGTCTACAGCAGAGGATTCGATTGAGGAAGAAGAGACCTACTCAGCCCTGGCTGATACTCCTACATAGTAGATAGCAACAGCGCCGGAACGCTATTCCTTCGAAGGCGATTCTTCGAGAGCCGATGACGTAATCAAATCCGCATTGCACCGATGTTGAGCGCGGTTGTATGTTCCGACATGAGCTGGATAGCGGGATTTCCCCATTCCCTGGAAGTGATTTCCCCATTCCCTGGTAGTATCGTGATCTAAAACCAGGAACGCGAGCATTCGGCTCTGAAAATCCTCGAAACAGCAGAGCTAAACCGGAGGAACGAGGAGCCGACTCGGCAGCTCGATCGCTTAGGAGACAAGGAGTATCACAGAGCCTTCAATGGGACGAATGCGAAGACAAATCAATCATTACCGTCCCTCGAGTGTCGATGGGCTGCTTTGCTTGCCGCGACCGAGTTACGAAATAGAGGAGGGGAGTAGAGATACAAGATGCCGGTCCGCTTGCCGTTGAAACCAACCCGGTCGGTGCTCTGCTCCACTCACTCGGTCGTCCATGCGTCCGTCCGTCCGTCGGCCAACCAGCCGGCAACTTCGCTCAGGCTAAGCTCGCGAGCCGTCGCGCCAACCATAAGGCGAACTTTCTCAGGGGATCGATTTGAGAGATTGCGTCCTCGCCGCGGAGGAAAAATACATCTGCACTCACTTGCCACGGGAACGAGCGAGTGAAACAAGTGCTACAGGCCTGACAACAACATTACAAACTACTACGATTTCCTCAGGGACCGAGTGTAACAATTTGTCACACTTGCAAACTGGCACCAGCCCTGTTTCCGAAGGCGGAACTCGTAACGTGCAGAACTGGTGTCGCTCGGACTAGTCTCTCGTTTTCCGGAAAAACAATCTTTCACTGGGAGCATAAAAAAACCGCGACTCGCTCGGTTCCTCGCATGCTCTCGCATGGATCTAGTGAGCTAGCGGCAGCGTGTTCGGGAGATATCGGGAAGCGGGTCTATCTGTGTACGTCAAGCGGACAGTATGTCTGTGTGTCTCTCAGTCGGAAGAAAGGAACGCAGACATAAAGGGAAAAAAAAACAAGCGAACAATTGCGGGAAAGGACGTGATTTGTTCGAGCGGAATGCCATCAGCGAAGTTATGATATTAAGGAGACATAAATGAGCAGCATTGCGACATCGAGAAGTGGGGACGCATTAATGCTAATCGAATTGTCCCGAGCTCCCGGACTCCGCTCGATGCCATATGGGTCAAGTGGGCGTGGTGGGGGCGGTACCAAAAATCAAATCAGAGCGATACAAAGAAACCCATAAATCTCGATGAAATGGCGAACAGGGAGAGCATTGATCTCTCTCGAAAACGCTTCCAAAAAACTTGAGTCACCGACAGAGTATTCAGCGGTCACGGTGATAAGCTAACGGCTCTATCGAGTTGATGTGATTTCGGAGCAATGAGCGAGCGTGATTCTGAATCCCGAGGTACACCGAGGCGTCGTCATCTTCGTGGGCTTCCGTCGATAGGGGTGTCGATTCAATGCGGAATGAGCTGAAACTCTGCTCTAATTTCAGGTCTGGTTCCAAAACCGGAGAGCTAAATGCCGGAAGCATGAGAGTCAACTACATAAAAACAAGCTGAATCATCTGCCAACGGTATCTGCGCTGAGCTCGATCGGCTCCATGCCATCGCTGACACCGCTGGCGCAATTGGGGTCGTTCCCGGTTATCGGTGCTCTAGGTCACGCAAAGACTCTGCCGAAGGACATGCCATTATCGGCCTTCGTCAGCGTGAACTCTGCTCGAGAAGCAGGTGAGGCAGATATTCAGCGTACAGCGGTCTTCGTTCGATCTGGGGTTATTCCATCTCATATCTAATTGGCTTTGCTCGATGAAAGATTAAAGCGGAAGCTTATTCCAGAGGGGAAATTTCCACCGTCGCCACCGTCTGCACGATCTCCGACGCCTCCGTCGACGTCCTGTCCTACGAAAGTCGGCAATTCAGCCTCGACTTCCTTGTTCCACGCCCTTCCAAGCATTATCGAATCTTCTTCCAAGGTGGGCATGATTGCTTCGTGTCAGTATTCGAGCTCGACATTGAGGCGAATGAATTCTAATCTTCTGAAACTTCCAGCAATTATCCTTCAACTCGCTCGCGCAACCTCTGCCATACGAGCATTTACTGGCAGCCGCCCAACACTACGCTCTGTTAATGAATGGGCATGAGCGTTGGGGCGGATATCTCAACTTGAGTCTCAGTCCTCTGGCCATCAACGCACTCTTGAACCTCGACGGTCAATCTAATGCTTCGCTCGCCAACAGCATGGTGCGTATATCGGCGAATGATCGGAGGTGATCTACGCTGAGGTGATCCTACCGCGTCTCCAGAACGTTCACGACATTTGATCTGTTCATCATCGTGTACAGCATCCTGCACGATCCGAATTGACGGCGATTCCGGGGAGCAGGAGTGCTCCCGTGGATCTGTGACGCTGACACGAGCGATATCGCATCACTCCCGGGAAGAACCCTAAACAGTGAAACTGTAGCTTCGCTCCCGTCCGCTGATTTCACAGAAAACTCAAAGATTGCGATAGCGCCTATAAATATACGTTCTTGTTTCCGGCAAAATCAAATTACGCATTTATAGCCGCCGGAGTGATTTATATGCGATAGCCATTACAACCAGGTGTGGAAGAGAGCCCAAATATCACGTTATGGCCCCTCTCTAGCAAATTACAACCTTCGAGCAGCTATTGATTTATAAGAGCCAATACAATGATACGCCTCAATCGCCGACGGTCGCAAGAATCTCTAACCCTGCCTCGAATTTTCAGACGAACCTCCAGAGCGAGACAACAGGAACCGATCTCCGAATTAAAACTAAAGCTGCGGAATCGAATTTATGACACCCGTGGGAAAAACGTTCGTTCTTGGGTCCAGACAGCCTGGACCGAAGGCATGCACGAGGAGAGCAGACGAGGGATGACGCTCCAATTCCAGAAGACGAAGTTTGCGTCGATGACGATGATGAGGACCAGGAAAAATGAAGGGTCGGCCCTCAGGAATGTCATCTGATTCGGGAGCTCTAAACGTATTTTGACGTGGACTACCGGGGCCGCTCGATACGTCTTTGTCAATTTGCGGCTCAAGAACCCCTCGACTAAGCGTACGTAAACTGTAAAATGAAAATTAGTCGAGACTCTCAAGGCTCAGCGATTCCGTGAGGCGCTCTGCGGATGGCATGCAAAATGTAGCGCTGCTGTGTAGGTACTCCAAGCATTTTGTCACGTTGATATTCTTCTAGCTGTTTACTGAACCACCGAGCGAGACAAATCTGAGGTTCCCATTGTACAGATAAGTTGTTTCGAAACTAAATGGTGAGGGACGAGTTCGATGTCGGTGCGCCTTCTGGCCTGTCACGTCTCGGACAGCAATCATACCGAGTGGGAAAGACATGAGTACATTCGAAGATGAGCGTTGGAGTCGGAGAAGGCTCATGTAAACCACATTGTAATCAAAAACAAAGATAGTTTAGAAGAAGAAAATGTGAAACGATGGTTTGAAAGTTCCTTCATAGGCAATGAAAGTCGGTGACAACACGGGCACCGATGACATTGATGTACAAGTAAAAATTGCATGAATTTAATAAAAATTCCGTTAGATGGTATCCAGAATCGAACTTTTATTAGCTCCTGACCACGATATATTTCAATTTCATAGAGTTAAATTATTGGTCGTCAGAACCAAGCGGTGTCATAAGTGGTCTTCCTTGCCCAATTGATTGAAATGGGAGGAAACCAGCGATACACCTCCTTCACTGAACTTCCCGAAACGATGGCTCGGTCGGAGCATCGGCCCGATATCTACTTCTTTCAATGAATGATCTCGATGAGAATCCCGGGTATTTTATTAATCGCCATGACACCCACCTATTCGAAATGGATCGAATCAATCGAAGCCGATTACGGTATGCTTCATCGAGATTGGTAGAAAACTGCCGTTGGGTGCAGCTCCACGCTTCGCTAACTTGGGTATGAGAAAACAACTCAATGAAGTGGTTCCGAGCCAGAAGCCCATGAACATTAAAATCGGGGAGCTGCCAGAAGATATGACGATATCCCTCGGGCTCTCGGTGAGACCAGACGCGTTGAGGTCGAGCAAGTGGAACGACGCAGCACACGAGAACGCGCATTCTTCGCATCTGAGGGAGACGAGTGAGATTCGTTAGAAGTTCTCGAAACGTTCGATTCGGACGTTAGCTCAGTTGCTTACCTCGGTATAACTTGCGCGCATAAGGTGGAAACATTCACGGGCACATCGTGGAAGCCTTGGTCCTTCGAGATCAGCAGCTCGTCATTCCCGAAACTCATCGCTGTTCCCTGAGTCCCTCCGAGGCAATCTTGGGCCCCCAGATCCAGTAAATAAACGTGGAACCTTGTCGACGGAGGGAAACTGAAGGAGTTCCGAGTGGGTGTCGTCCCCATCTTCCTCGTGATCCTCCTTGCTAAATTCGGCACATCAGTCATTCAATTTTTACCTCGTCCCACAAGAATTCCGCGCATCGAGGTTCAACCTCAGCCGCACCGATTTCTTCGTCGCCTCGTAGCGGTGCAGTTCAACTCTCGTCACGTCAAGAGACACCTTTCCATCGTGGCAGCAAAGACTGCCCTTCGAAGTGTCACGAGGAACATGGAATGGTCCCCAAACTTGCGTTGTGCAATTCTTGCATCTAAAGGGCTCTGCTATAATGCAGTACCTGCGGGGGGCATAAAACCCGTATTTTCAGCACAGCACTCAATACATCGATGATCCGCAACGAGGTCGGGCTCACCTGCCTGGATAGGAATATTTCCAATTGAGCCAATGGCTGCTCTCCAAATACAGCCATGTTCTTTTCATCAATCGCAGGGAGCCTCCAGTGAGAGATTGTCCGCAAGTTTCATCGAGAGACTGCCTGAACAAAGAAACTGCGTAATGGTCTCTTGCCATGAGGGAAATCGTCATCAAGGGCAAGGTCGCGCCCCAAGATGGCACCAGTAAAACAGGTTGAGAAGGTGTGACCGGTTCCATCATGCTTCTGAAGTCGTCCGCGGGAGAGTCATCCAACGTCTGGAAACTGCAATTTGACACAAGCTTCCAGGACCTTTCCTAGTTTGCTGTCGCTCGGATTTCCGCAAGGGTACCCGCTGCACCCGTGGGGCACTCAGGGAAGTGTGCATGGATGACTCACGAGTTCGATTACCACTCACCGAGAGCATAGGATCACGTGGCAGTGGCCAATACATTTCGTTTCGGAAGCAGAATAGGCACATACATCTACCCGGATTGATAACGTCTATATCAAGGTTGAGCTTACGGAGCGGCTTCTCCAAAGACACTGAAGAGCCGGTTCAGTTGGATGGTCCTAATTCCAGCCGAGGCAATCGCGGCTCCATTCTTCACCACGATTGGCTCGAACCGGCGAAACTTCATACGTTCACCATCTATGGACTTTGCTAGCATCCGAGAGCTGTGCGAAAGTGCTCCTTATGTGTAACTCACTGAGGTCCACTACCTCGCAGAGAAATCGGCCATCCTGAAGGGATAACTCGTCACTGAATAAACATTCCACACCTTTCCAGCGGCCGATATTACCACGCGAATCGATAATGTAATCGATGGGGGTCGGGAATCGGATCGTCCTGATTGCGACGGAATTGAGTGAAGACTTTCGAATAGAGAGCGCCGATTTACAGAATGGAACCGATTTCAGAACACCATCCACACGCATATCTTCTATCTTCCAGCAGCTACCTACATCATTTCCTAAGCGGAATGCCTAGATCACTCTGCGAATCATTCAGGCGTGTCCGCGAATTAGAGATGCAGCGAATTCTCGGTACCGAGTATCCAACCGGGCACGAGTTCTCCGAGGCTCCACATTGCGATTGACAGACTCTCGGACGCGAGCTATATTCTTCTTCCTCCCTTGGAAGCTATGGTGATCTATGTGGATGCTCCCTTTGATCTAATCTGCCGCCGATCGAGACACTACGCGATTTCCCCGCTTATTGAAGACCGGAGTTGGAAGCAGCAACCACGACACCAATGGCTGGACGAAATTCTAAAGGAAACCGAAAGCAGCTCCGCAATAGATGTGAACATCCCTTAAATTCGTGAACCCATGATCTGGAGCGAGCGGAGAAGTATCGAGCGAACGTCATTGGGAGTGGCCTTCAGCTTCCCGTTCAAACACATTAGGTCTCGTTTCGGAACCGGAGCACCAAAGAGCGGCAGAGCGCTCGAGATAGCGCTCTAGCAGGGAGCTGCACGCAACAAATCAAGCGAGCCAATCTACCGACCGAAGAGTAAGCGCTCGACACGGTAGCTCGGCAAGCATCACATTTCACGGTTGATGTTGTTCTTATTAATAATATTTCAATAATCCCACAAGCAGAAGCGGCCGCTCAAGATCTTCTCGGCTCTCTCTTATCTCGTCGAGTAGAGCTGTACCAGCAGCAGTTGCAGAAAGAAAGCGTGGAGCGATAATACGGCGCTGATATTAATATGACAACGACGAAGATGACGGCTACGACAAGAGCAGCAGCAGAGCGATGAACAGATACGGGGCGGCGAATCGAGCTTTGATTTCAGTGGATGGCAACGCTAGCTTTATTTCTCGGATGCCATAGTAGGTGAGGAGCGAGCGAGGGCACGAGAAAGTGGGAGAATCTGATCAAAAAACGCGGAGCTCGGAGAGAAGAGAATTCACACCGACTCATCAACACCCCACAAACATCCATCTCTCTTCACAGAAAACTCTCCCTTGACTTCCGGCGGACTTGCCTTGTTCCGCTCACCAGGAGTGCTTCGAACATAGGTAGAGACTTGTCTTGTGACCGGGAAGGGAGCAAGCAGGCAAGCCAATGACAATCATCCAGTTCCCTTCTGCTCCCCGTCTTCACGAGCCTGGTGGAAAAGAGTGAGAAAGAAGAGTTTCGCTCCCGACACCAGGCCCTATGGGGAAAGACTCTTCGTGAGAAAACATTGTGCGTGGTTCTTGAGGTCGATCCCGCGTCGGAATACCGTTAGTGTTCCCCCGTAATATCGGACCTTGCCTTATCTCGCGACGTCGATGGAGTGAATTACTGACAGACTTTCCCCGAATCGCTCCGGAAATTAAGCTCAGAGTTGAGGTAGTTAAACTTGACATATGACAATGATAGTCCTGAGCTTCCTGTTTGAGCTATTCTGTATTCTATTCCTATTGAGTATTCTCTGAATCTGCATGGGTACCCGTTGACTGCCTCCGAGGCGCACTCTGGAGCTCCGGAGTATCTGAGTGCATGTGAACTTGAGCAGGGCGGTAATATTCGAGCGCGAATCTGATCTGAGCACAGCGTAAATTCGAGCGCAACGTGAATGTGGGCGCATAGTCCATGGAGCGAATTTCCTATCTATGGGATTATATATCCAAGAGAAGCCCGACATCTCAGGGACTATCCGGCTCCGAAACCCCGTGAGGGCAGGATACGGGTCAATTGGGGTTAGGCTGCGAACCGCAGCTACCCTAAAGCATAACCTCACACTGGTGCGCGCGACCCAGATCTACGTTGAAATCGACGACGATGTCGCGCTCAACTTCACGCGCGCTCAGAATCAGCTGCGCTCAAACTCATTTGGGCTCATATTCTTTTTGCGCCCTCCAGCCCAAACTCAATACGTTACGCTCGAATTCACGGTGCCCACAAACTAACATTGCGCCTCTCATCACAATGTGCATAGATCAGTTGCCCCTCGATCGCATTTGCGCTCAAGCCCCCGCTCAGATGTCCTTGCGCTCAAATGTTCGGTCATCGGAGAGCGCATCAAGACTGCCTCCCTTATCGGTTAAGCTATCTCCTCGGCGGTCCTTAGCAATAGAACTCATACACGAGCATTGAGCTGCGACAAGATGTAACGCGCATCCTCTTCTGGCTCCCTTCCGACACCTCGCGGTAGTCGCACTCCGCTCCCTAGCCCTCTGAGATCGGCCAGAAGAAATTGTTTCTCTCCCGAAGTCAAGCGCAATGGCGTCAAAGAGATTATGACTCGTTTCGAGCTGATCGGCTTTGTCTGCCTGAAGGTGTCGTGCCGGATGAGGGCGGCCGAATCTAGCTGGAGCAGAGTCTACAGCATAGGTAAAGGCCGCGAAACCGAGAGAAGAAGCAGAAACACCGCTTGTGGATGCACTTCTTCATAACCGCCGGCAGTCATTGCCGCCGGTCGATGTAACTGAGCGAGCCCGACAAGAAAGCCACTGATATGACGGGAGTGGTTTAATTTTTCTGAGAGATATGAGAAAAGATATATTTTATCTCGGTGAGGTGCACTTAGCTCCGGGGGCGCTAAGCATGACGAGGATCAAGAGCACGACGCTCCCATTTGGTTTGTTTATTTGGTCATTCAATGGGCCGCACCGCAGCACCGCAGCACCGACATTTGTCCCGTTAGTGGCATCGAAATATGCTCGAGATCACCTAAATCATTCGATTCTGCGTCCGAAATGCTCCATCCGGAGCCTCGATTCCCATATCTTGTCGCTTGCGAGGCTGAGCGGAACAAACCAGAGAGAAAAGCGCCGGTGCACTGTTTCTCCCCGATCCCCAAACACTAGCATCCGGAGGAATCGGAGCGTTCTTCGATTCACGCCTCCCCTAAGAAGTAAACCCTGCGATCCTCGACCAGGGACGGATCTGGCCGAGAAAACTAATTGCACGAGGAACAAGTTCCGCAACATAGACAATAATAATTTGAGAATTCCGCGAATAGATTAGAGAAAGAAATCGATCCCCCGATGTCTCGATGCATTGCATCGAATAAAGTGCATCCTGCTCCCAGTACTCCGATCGTGTCTGTCTTCATTCTGAGTGAGGGGCTCGAAATCATCCGGAATCCACTGCGAGCTTCCGGAATTACTCGGATAGCGTAGACCTCGGAAGTGTCTTCCCCGTGATTGGAGAAGGGAAACGGCGGGACGCATCGGAGTATCTGGATTTTGAATCAGGAGAGCGTTGAAGTAGTAGGGGGTGAACCTCCAGAACACTCGAGAACCGATCGGAAGTCGATCCGAGTCGTCGAGACTTCAAATCGATAAGAATATCGTTTGAGATCCGAGGAGCGACGATGCTAGTAGTCACTAAAGCCGGCAATCAGAAAACAACTATCATTAGAATTCCTGGCAGGAAACGGGTTTCATCCATCTGTTTAGTTGAAATCAATGCGAATGGGAAGCCTCTCCGTTGTCGTTCGAAGAGGAAGAGTGTGTAAGCTTTCGATTGAGCTGCCGGAGGCTGATCGAGCGAGAGAGCGACTGCGCGGCTGATGCGGCTTGGTATCGCGATGTGTGTATGTACAAATATCTGAGCGGCTCATGTGATCATCGACACGACTGGAGCTACTCGTCGTGGTTTCGAAGCTAAACAAAAGCTTCCACCCTCTTTCCCTCGTGCGCTCCCTCCTACCGGAGACAGTTACCCGATTCTACCTTTTCAACTCACCACGCCCTTCATTGAAATTGCGGAGGAAGGAACACGACATCAATCTGATGACTGTTGTGCTGTGGAAGCCAACAGTAACAGAATGTGTAACAGCAGCAAATGAACGAACAATGGACAGACGGACGGACGATCGGTGGTCGGTCGGTCGCTTGAATGGACGAACTGACGAATGAACGGGCAGACGGAGGCAAGCATCTCCGCGAGCGAGGCAAACACCGGGGGCTCAGCACCACCCCCAATTGTGGACAGCGCCGACATTATGTAACTTCTGTACAATATAAGCCTCGTTGATGCGTTATAATCGGCGCGACGTCTCGCCGTGTTACATGTGTAATGTACCGGAGGCACCAGAGGTGGCTTCTGATAGGGCGGAGACGTCCCGCTTCTGGTTGCGGCACGCACTGCTGGTAAACGATTGACATTTGTGCTTTTTGTGGTTTCTTCGACGGTAGTCAACGTGGGCATACGAATGCTCCTCTGATTGCACGCTGCTAATACATATGCCTGGGTAGATTGCGCACTTCGAGCAACCGAATTAAAATTCGTGAGAAGCCGGCGGCATCTGGCGTTGGTCAATGCGACGATCGGAGACTGCGAGGAGTACAGGCGACGGACCGCGAGAGCTTTCGCGTAGAAAATCGATCGCGATGCATGGATACTTGTAAGAAAAGAAATCGTAACGGAGCGCGTACTCGGCGACGCATGCCGGGCTTCAACAACTTCTATTCATGC